CCAAAACTGACTCCTGTACTTCTGCTTTCTACTTTTATACTTTCCTATTGTTTGTTCCATTGATATCCTACCATCTGGGATAACACATGTCCAGGGATCTTCTAGAACATTGTTCAACACATGTCAAGAATGCCTGTGCCTCGTGCTTTTGGCGTGCCAAAAATTCAGTTGAGCTGTGTGCCACTTCCTCACTGCTTAATGCTGAAGCCACAGAGAGCAATCCTGATTGTCTTCTTCCATTGATTAGGCACAACCTTTGACAAACTACAAAACTACAAAATGTCTCCCCAAACTATGGGGGTGGATAGCCTGTTTTATGGGGAGAAATACCACTACAAGCATCATACCTGAGGCAAAATGGACCTTCTTGGGTGGCATTTCTTTTTTCTTTTTTTCTTTTTTCTTTTATGGCAGCAGAACTGGTAACGAGCTTTTCTCTCTCATTTTTCTCTCTCCACAGATCTGACTGTGCAAAGGTACGGGCCACTGCAGAAAGAATAAACAGAAGCAGGGGAGAACAGAGCCTCCACTGGCTGTTCTCTGATCTTATGGAATAATTGTTTTGGGGGGTTAGAGACCTGACAAAACAAAAGACACTTTTCCCTTTCCCCACTTTTTTTCTTCTATGGGGTAAAGAAGGTCTTTTACTACAGGAGATTTGGCACACAAAAGTTCTATTTCTTTTCTTTCCCTGCTTCTCCAGCAACCTACAGGTTGGCAAGAGAAGTAGGCCAGATGGTTACTTGGGATAATGGGACAAGCCTGCCTAGAGGTGACTACTGGTATTAGTAAAAATCAGGGACCAGAGCCTTTACCCACTAAATATCTTGTGACAATTTGTAGATGGCTTGTCTCAGTTTGTAGCAGCAGAAATAAAACAACCACCACCTTTTGAAATAGAGCAAGAAAAGCTAGATGGAGGTTGTCTCTATGGTGGACCAGGAGTGAATTGAAAATGACATTGTGCTCAACAAATTGTTAATGGGCCACTCTTGCATTGAGGCAGACAGTTTGTGCAAATGCCACCCCCCTGAAAATTTTATGAGACCACCAGATGGCAGTAAAACCTAGGTTTTTGGGGTTTCAACACAGACTAAAAACTATTGGAAGTCTCCACTTCCAAGTAAACATGCATTGAGATGTGCTGAAAATATTTACAAAGTTGAAAAGCTGCTTTACTGGAACAGTAAAGTTTGCTTCAATATATTCCTAAGACATGCTTTTCTCTATTGTGTTTGATAAACATATGGAGCTCACAGGTATATAGTTTATCCAGAATAAGTATTTTGACAGTGGCCAGATAGGTGCAATAGGTGACATAAAGGACATGGCCTTTTCTATCAATAAATTGACATTTCTTTTTAGGGAAGTCCATCTTTCCTCATATTTTTGTTAGTTTTATACAAGCAGTAATTATAGTTTTATTTCAACATAACTTTGTTTCTTAGTAAAATGTTTTAACTTTAACACTGAAAAATAAAGATTGCTTTACCAATGCATTTGTTGTTTGATCTGATTATATGCCATCAAGTTGGTGTTGATCTTAGTGACCCCTTTTTACATTATACTAATATAATGTATTTTGTATGTATGAGCCTTTTAAGTGTCTAATATCAGCGTGTCTGCAGACAAATACTTCACATGCAAAGCTTCCCTGCACATTAATCTAAACTCTCTTAAATATTTTTAAAGCTTTCTTAAACAAGAAACTGCTATAATATAAACCAACAACATCTAGTCACATCTTTATTTCCAAGACTACTTCAGAGCCTCACTTGAGCCCTGTGGCATTCTTATAAAATAAACATTATAAGTGGCTGGAATGCAGTGCTTTGTTAGAAATGTTCCTGCCCAAAGATAATGGGGGGGAAAATATGGTGAAAATGCAAGCATCAGACTTCAAGCACGGTAACAGATTTTGATTTCCTGAAATCTGCACCAACATTCATCAGTAGCAGAATTTTTTTTTTTTGGCAAGGCAAATCAACAGTATAATGAATATAATAAAATTAGTCACCATTTTATATATCCCCTCCAAACAGAATATAGTATACTACATTTAGATAACCCTTTTAAAGAAAACATAGTAATTCAAATAATCTAACACATTAGATTAGCATAGAGCAGGGTTTCCAAGCTGTGAGGTTTATTTCTCTTATGGCAGTGCAGAGTCCAGGTGAGGTGCAAAGAACCTTTTAGTTATAATTTTTTACATCTTTCCTGAAGTTGAATTGCATATTTTTATTGTTCATTTGTGTCCATGTTTGTATTTTTAGAGGAGCGGTGTACATTAAGATTACAGTAAAGGGAGGTGTGAAGGAATCTCTAGCATAAAGGTTGTATTAAGGAAGTTGTTGATGAGATGCCTTATCTATTTCAGTGTGGAGAACAGGATCCTCTAAGTAACCAAATTGTCCAAACAAGGACCAGAATATTATGAAAAAATATGATTTATATATTTTATGAAAACTGACAAGCTAGGTCTTCATCCAAATAACATTACTGCAAATTACCCATAATAAGTACAACAGGGAGCTAATAGTCTGGTCTCTCTTTCATGTAAATCCGATTATAAACCACCCTGAGATTAAATTCGGGGATAATGTGGGCCTTCTGCAGCCATCAACAAGACACGATGGGGAAAAAGTAACAATCTTTAATGGTTACATACTTCAGGAACTGTATTGTAATCATGACCTATAGTACACATAAGGAGCTACCTTTTTTCTTCATAAAAGAGGTAGGAGCATTGGTCTAGCACTAGCCAGTAGGAGTAGGAATATCCAGCCATGTACTCTCTTGGTTTACTTATGTTTGTTATGGAATGGGATTTACTGGGCATTTTCTGTTTGTTTGTATATAGGTATGTCAGTGATTTCATCATGTGATTTTTGGGTGAACTTCGATACTGCTGTTTTCTGAGAAATACACATTACAGTATTGTGTAAAGAGAAATGGGATTAAAAGATTTGGGGCTGAGACCTCTACCTTCCTTCCTCTCCCCTCATGTGAAACAATAGCTGACATCTTTGATTTTTTTTAAATGAATTGTTTGCTTAGAAGTCAGAGATGGACATTTACTTTATGGGAACAAATAAGTATTTACAGTAATTACTATATATCTATTTTGGGGTGGCGCTGTAGAAAGTAACATTGGGAAATACATTTCTACACACAGGATCCTCTAATAGCAGTTTTATTATTCATTGTCATAAGCCATTTCAAATTAATATTTTAAAGAAATATTTTAGAAATCTTTCCTAACAAGTAAATAAGACACTTTATCTTTCCTTCTTATAAATCATTTTTATTGTGTATTTATAATTTTTATTGTACAATCATTTCCCGAGCACCATTATAAATAATGTAATGGATTGTGTGATTTCACAGCTCTTTAAAGACTGTTATTATAGTGTCTGCAGTTGCTTGCATGTGTGTCCATTTCAACAGATGCCTTGAACAAAATGCCATTTGGGAAGGCAGGAGTCCCTTAATTCTTTGTCTGACTGATCTGCAGAAGTAGTGTAGAGATTTTCTTATTAAACATGAAGGAACCAACCTGCTAATGCTACATCACTTCCTAACAGGGGTCCCCAAACTCTTACGCTCAACCCTTTATGAAGCTTCAGATTGTTCCACACTCAAACATTATATTTAATAAATAATACTTTAACTAATAGTACTACAAATAATAATAAAAAAGTCTGCCTAGTGGATGTGGCAGTGCCTGGAGAAGGCAGAATAGAAGAGAAAGAACTGGAGAAGATAACAAAATACAAAGACCTGCAAACAGAACTAGAACAACTGAAAAAAAAAAGCAAAGCTAGTACCAATACTAATAAGTGCCATGGGTGCAACTCCAAAACAACTATAGCATCACTTGTACACCATCAGCATTGACAAATTCAATTGCAGATTTACTGGGAACAGCTTGTATCCTCAGATGATTCATCTTTAACACCATAAAACACCCACATCTGCCTCTCCGAGGTCCTTGGGAAGGGCTCCGATAGGTGGATAAAAATGCCAAATCCAGTCTGAACATCTGGCTGACTCTGTGACGAACCATCATAGTAAGACAACTCAAGGCTGCACTAGCTGGGGGCGGACCATCCAGCCCTGGGTAACAGTCTCATTTCTAGCTACCTTTTTTTCAGGATTAGGGACTGGAGTTTTACAGAGCCCCCCCCCCCACATAAAAATTAACTGACCCAATGACGTTTAATCATTTATTGATCAATTACTGACCCCCCCTTTTTTTTTGTCTCCCGGCCTTTTAATGACGCTTGGAGGTCGATACTGATCACTGGGGAGCCCTGCCAGTGTTTCTCAACCTTGACAATTTTAAGGCATGTGAACTTCAACTCCCAGAATTCCACAGCCAGCAATGCTGGCTGTGGAATTCTGGGAGTTGAAGTCCACATGCCTTAAAATTGTCAAGGTTGAGAAACACTGCGTAGTCTGTCACTACTTTCATCCTTCAAGGATAGGACTGGTGGGGAACCCGCGAAAGAACCGCCTGAATTTTCTGCATTTGCCTTTAACCTTCTCCAGCGCCGCCTGCCTCCAATCAGGCAAAACAGGAAGCCCTTTTCTCCCTTCCCTCCCTCCCTTCCTCCAGTCAAGGCATTCGCTTAGAGCGGTCCCGACCCAGCCCGCCTTCTTCCTGGAAGGAGAAGCAGCCCAAAGCGAGCCTCCTCTACTTTTATTAGTTCTTGAGCCAAAAGCGCCAACCCGGCCTTCCGCCGAAGGCGAGTTGAGCGGATTGGAGGACGCCGGTCACGTGCCCCCTCACTCGGTGGCGTCATTCGTCTCTGCGGCGCGCGGAGAGGGCGTGGCGAAGGGCCGCTGCTGCCCGGCCGGCCCGGGGTCTTCCGTCACATTTTTCAGCCCGCTGCGCCGCGTCGCTCAGGTCTGCCTGGTTTGTAACGTGCAAGTGAGGAGGAGCGATGTCGCCGCCGCCGCCGGCATGAAGCCCGCGCGGGTCAGTGAATTGGCGGGGATTGGTCAGGAATAGCTCAGGTGAGAAGGTGGCGGAAGGAGAAGAAAAGACGGCAGGCGAGCATGCAACAAACAGGCAGGCAGGCAGGCAAAATGGAGATGCGCAGGGGAAGGAAAAAGAGCGGCGGCAGCGGCGGCGGGCTGTGCCGCAGGTGCTCGCGGCTGACCTCGGGCAAAGGCAGGGTGAGGAGGAGGAGGAGGAGGAGGAGGAGGGGAAGGGCGTTTCTGATTAACCAATCCCAGACTCTGTTCTTTTATTGACCCCCAAGTAGGGATTGCATCCTGCCTTTTAAAGTGGTGTTTTGCATTTATTTTTTATTTTTTTTGCCGGCCTGAACTGCTTCTCTTTGGTGGAAAAACGATAGGGTGAAAATGGGATGAACCCCTAGCCCATCTTAACATTGAAAAGCACGGCTGCGAGGTTAACCAAGTTGGCCCTCGAAACATGTTCTTAATTCCAGGGGTAGAACTCGGGGCGCACCGTTGTATAAATACGTGTGAACTCCCGAAATGGCACCCCCAAATTTTCACCGACCCGAATCAAATGCATTTCTATTCCGTTGCAAAATGCTTCATAAATTAGCCCAAAGTATGTGCGTGTGCTGTATGTGCATAATGGGTATGGGCTCTTAGCCTTACAGTCGCCACCCATGAAATTAAACCATAAGCAATTAAAAAAAAATCTTTTCCCTGGTGTAGAACTGGTTATTTGATAAGATATTTACCATACTAAGTTATAACGTTTTGGATTGCAGAGTATTGTTTATAGCAGGGACTTTCGCTTTCATTTGCACGATAGGGCCTATTACGTGTAACAGATTGGATGCTGTAATACAAAACTATGATATCTATAAAAGAAATTGCACATTTACATCCCAATAGAATATTTATTAGACCAACTCCAAACTTGCAAAAATATGCAAGATCTCAAAATTTGTACAGATGTTATGATGGATGTATATAGGCCAGGGGTAGGTAACCTTGGCTCTTTTATGACTCATGGACTTCAACTCGGCTGGCTCAGGAATTCTGGGAGTTGCAGTCCACGAGTTGTAAAAGAGCCAAGGTTGCCTACCCCTGATATAGGCTAAATAGAAGTGTAGTTCTAACATGGAGTTTGAAATATTAGTGTATTAGTGTTTTTATTTGGGGAGGGAGGGAACTAATAGTTGTACAATATAATATAATTTTTAGCTATATGAAGCTTTAATATTTCATGGGCAAATCATTTTTACAGTACTGAGATAATGTTACTGAGTTACTTTATAGTATTGCAGTGACAGAATATTTGTGATATTCTTGGAGTATCCACAGAGATCTTTATGAAAATATATTTGGCTTATATTTGAAATATAAAGTGTGTACAGTTTAAGTAAATCGTAACAAATAAATAGCAAATATCAGTATTGTTATGTGCTCCTGGCTACTTTCCTTCGTGACCAGAGGCAAGCTCGCCTGACCAATAACCAGCCAAGACACAGTGAAGGCCTTTTGTTTCATTTATTGCAATAAGCAGGGAGAGAAGCTATCAAAGCTTGGTTCTCTCCAAAGTTTTAACCCAAAATATTTCCTTCTTTATACATCCCTTGTCCCGGCCGACACATCTCTCCTCTTTCCCCATTGGCTGAGGTACTATGAGGTTACACTCCTTCCGTCCGCTTATCCACATTTCCTGATAACATATTAAATCATATTCACATATACAATAAGAATAAGAAAAAATAGACATTTAAATTATTTTAAACTCAGTAGATATTTATGTCCCCATTTTAAACAATAAATTCTTTTCCTGATTTTCAATTCAGTGTGCCTTTCCTCTTATCTTATTCAGCTTATTTTCCTATTCTCCAACCTGTCTTTCCTGGCTAGCCATTTCCTTTTACAGCTATATATATTTTATGGCTTCTCTTCTTCCTTTCTCAGACCCAGCTATTTTTGCCTATATGTTTATCTTACTTCCTTTATGTTATCTTTTCCTGACTCTCACCAATTGTGCTTATCAATTAGTTTCCATTGTATTGTAGGTTTAACTGACTCTGAAGATTTATCATATTGATGCATATTTATCAGTATATATAGCCATTTGCTTTAAATTTGCACCAAGAGGAAGCATGTTGCAAAACATAATAAAAACGAAAAATAGCAAGTGTTTCTCTATTCTCATGGGCTTATGTTTGCAAGGACGTATAGTGGGAAGCCAATATCGTTATGATGGAATACAAGTAAATAGCAAGGAAAGACTTTTGTTAAAATGTTAGATAATAAAAATTTCACTACCAGCTTGATTGCAGAGGCTGGATGGCCTTATGTAAATAATGGTGTAACTGGAATACTATTCAGTTGTGTAGCATTCAAAATCTCTTCAAATTGTAAAAATAAGTGATTTGGGAGTTATGACTATATTCTCATGAAAAATCTTTATCCCATGCTCAGCAAGGACGTTACAGGAAGTTTTTTCCCTACCCAAATAGTAGGGAAAGCACCATAGTGGCCGTAGAGAAGCTGATAGAATATTTTATAAATGCAGATGGTAAATTGAGTAAATTCAGACAAAAGCTGAAGTATAAATTAAATATTTTTTTAATAAACAAATTATGATGAGTACTAGACAGCATTTGATCTAATTTTCTATGTCTCTGCTGCCATCTTATTGCCAACTAAATTTTTGCAGCCAAATAAAACAAGACTATTGATTCCTTTTTAGGCAGAACAGTTTGAAGACCTGCTCCAGAATGCTACTTATACAGAGAAAACCTTGTTTTGTATCATATAGGAAAGGTAATTATCTCATTTTCACTATGATGGCTTCCTTATAGTTTGCACCCCAATGTAGACTATTATCACACTTTTATTTTCATATAATTTTTTAAGATTACAATTAAAGTAAAAAAAATACAAATTACAAAAAATAAGATGAAAGAACTTTCCCCCTCATGTGGATAAGTACATATAATTTTTATAACTTATCTTCTCTTAAACTATTCACAACTTGGCAGGTGGTGATGTCTGAGAAAGCAGCTTGGATAAACTAACATGCAGACTGGCTCTTAATGAATTTGTGCCCCTGGTGCGGGGTTAACAAGTTTTAATATTGTCCTGTCCTTACTAGCAGGCGTAAATCTTAGTGAAGTCTCCATTGTTCTTTATGTTTGTCACATGAATGCAGTCCACATCATGCTGAGAAGTGAGGTATTGTTTTATCTGAATTTGGCTATAAGTAGGTCCATTTTTCTCCCCCTCCATTGATAATTTATCAATATAGTGATAAATTACCACTGTATTTTGATACATCCTCAGTATGGTTAGAACAATGCTGTCTCACTAAAACAATTGTCTTTCACCATTGTTCATTTTTTGTGTGTTTAGTTGGTAGATTGTAATTGCTGGAATTAGTATCTAATCTTTTACATATATTTTATCTCTATACTGCCTTAACATGATAGAACAGTAACATATTCTATATAGAAGATGGAGTGCCTTCTAAGGAAGTGCAAAATTAAGGAAAATAATTAATATAATAGAGAGCATTGTCCTCCACCTATACTTGTTTCTAGAATTTCCTGTTAAGAGTAATATATGGAGTTAAAGGATGGAATTTCCTCCTTTTCAAAATCCAGTCTTGTATTTTGCTAGCTTCCAATTTTGGGTTTTTTTGCAATAAAATATTCCTATTCCTCAGTTATCTTTTTATTTTTCCTAAATTAGTCTCTTCTAGTGCTAAACTGACATAGGATAACACTTCTATGTTTTGTTTTCTTGTTGAGTTGAAATTAGAAAATGAGAAAAGGGGAGAAAGCTTTAGGGCAGTTCCATGCAGAATTTGAAGGTGAAAACATGAAGAAATAGGTAAGACATGGGTGAAAAGAAATGTAAGAGGAAGATTTAAAATGACTGCTAATGACCTGTTTTTGCTCAAACAGGAATGTGGCTGGAAAGGCAGGTTTATAGGCAGATCAGTAGCAGACTTATGCAACAAATGTTAATTACTTAATAGAGAAAATAAAAGTAATTCAACCATAAAAAAGCAAAACATTGGAATGCTTTACACTTCAGACTACTGCATAATCCAGTTTTCCTTGCCAGATACCTGGTTACCATGACAGTTTTATTTATTGATATTGCAGATGATAATGCTATACAGATAACATATAGGAAGACAAAACAATCTTTGTCGGGCAGTGGGGAAAAAATGAATGTAGACTCCAGTTGAGCTCCTTAACATGTCACATTAGAAAGAGTCCTCATTCTAATGTCCTGCCTCATTAGAAGTAAATGGAGAATACAAAGAAAGCTGAGATTTCTTAAGATACCAGGACCCAGATTGGGTAGGGTTTTAAAAGAAGAGGATAGCATTTCAAATTGATCTCAGAAATAAACTTCAAGGAACTTATTCCATTAGGTATTATATGTTGTCAGAGATATTACCTAACCAGCTACATTCTGTATTGAACTGCAGTTTCCCAATTATCCTACACTGAAACCAGTCCTGATTTTTGTAGTATGCAAGTCAATCAGCTAAACATTTGTTAATTTTCATAATACTGTAATATAGCATATTATTAACTGGCTTCACCATTGCAGAAAGTTCTGTTGTAGTAGGAATACTTTCATACCCCGAACACTAAAAATACAAGTGTTTCTCTTCTGGATTGGTCCAGAGTAGAAAGTAGCTAAGGTAGCTTTTACTTCAGTGTAGTTTTAGGATAAAGCTCACCCAAAAAGTTAGAGAGCAACAAAAATATTTAAGGACATATAAGTTTCCTTTATTTTAACACTTAATAATTTTGAATATCAGAAAGACTTTGAGCACTTCCTTAGACAACTCAGTCTTCATTAATATTAATAGAATTCTGTTGCAAAGCTGAAAGATCAGACACTAGAAAGCAAGCTGTGTCAATTGATACTCATGCTGAAGAATAGATCAGTGTTTCTCAACCTTGACAATTTTAAGGCATGTGGACTTCAACTCCCAGAATTCCACAGCCAGCATTGCTGGCTGTGGAATTCTGGGAGTTGAAGTCCACATGCCTTAAAATTGTCAAGGTTGAGAAACACTGGAATAGATAGACGCCACTACTGGAATTGGCTAGAATGCAACATAATAATCAACATGTCATCACCTACTCCTACATATAAATCTTGTGTTTATGTTGCCAGATGTTTTGGCCTTATGATTTTAAAATATGCTTTAATATATAATGGAAAATAAAAATGTATTGCTAACGTAGAATATAATTACAAATAATTAACAATAACAATGTTTTGCTCATACATTGTGGCTGTCGATTTGGAAAGTTTAAACAAGAAAGGAATAAAGACAAAACACACATGAATTATCTCTATTTAGTCCCTTTCTGCAGTTTGGCTCAACATGAGAGATGGTGTATCTCCTACATCAGGGGTCCCCAAGCCCTGATCTTGGTCCACAGCCCATTCAGAACCGGGCTGTGGAAGTGGTGGGCAAGCACACATGAATGTGTGTGTGTGAGAGAGAAGCTGCATTTGTGAATGCAGGCACATGTGCGTGAAACCGTCTCTTCTCCCCCACCACAACCTCCGCCTTCACTGTTCCACCAAGTTGGAAATGTTGGAGGCCGTTGTCCTATATAGTAATTTATATATTTTTGCTAGAAATATAGCCTTAAAGTCTTGAAGGTAACAACTATAATCTGTTAAACTTAAATGCTGCCTGAAACTCAGTGATTCTGGGCAGCTCACACCAATTTTAAAAAAAGTAATAGGCAGGTTTCTACCTCTTTGAAGTGCTGCTTTCGAGGGAGGGGGGAAGTGGAATCATGTGGGCCTTAATAAAATGATAAGACTTTTCCTATTGGCTAATATAATTGCTAAACAATGAGTAGAAAACTCAGTGGTGGTAGCTGAGTCTGCCCCCTCATCTCATTACTAATCAGGACAATAGGTGCCTTAGTAGGGGGAGGAGCAGCTAAAGCAGCGGTTTTCAACCTATGGGTCGCGACCCCATTTGGTGTCGATAGACCATGGGGGTCGCCAAGCAAGGCTGTCCGCCATTTTTTCCCCTTTTCCGGCGGGTGCTTTACCTCCCTTGGGCTGGGCCAGCTGGTGGTCGGCCTGCTCCTCTCTGCCTCTTGCCAGCTACGCCTCGGCCGGCGCAGGGGGCGGAACCACGCATGCGTGGTGCTCCCAGGCAGGGAAAGTCCTCGACTTACGACCGGTTGGGTAGTCCTCGACTTACGACCGGTTTAGTCCTCAACTTATGACCGGTTTAGTCCTTGACTTACGACCGGTTGGGGGTCGCGGCATTAAAAAGGTTGAGAACCACTGAGCTAAAGGCTCTCCATTTTCTTGTGACTATGGTGGTTAGAATTTAGGATGGCTTCTTTCTTTTTAAAAGTGAAAATGAAACTGAGAACAAGAGTAGATTTGAAGCAATTTATCTATTTGTTTAGCTGAGCGAAGTGCAGAAAGATAGCAAAAAAAAAAAAAAGGAAGCAATACCTGTGGAATTTTCCCCTTTAAAGGCTCTGCATGATAGCTATTTCTCTATTGGACTGGCTGACTTTTCTCCCTTCTTTTACATTGAATAATAAGTATTAATGGACCAGTTTTGTGTAGTGATTAAAACACCAGACTAGAAACTGGGCAACCATGAGTTCTAGTCCCACTTTAGGCACAAAGCTAATATCCCTCAGCCCTACGAAGAAGGCAGTGGCAAACTACTTCTGAAAAACCTTGCCAAGAAAACTGCAGGGATCAGTTCAGGCAGTTTGCCAGGAATCAATGCTGACTCAGAGGCACATAAAAAATAAAATAAAAGTAAGGAATTAGGGTAGACAGGACAAAACAGGATGAGAAGGAAATATTTAGCAAATTAAATAAACACATACTGACTTGATGATGATAACCTTTATTGTCATTTTTTCCTGTGGGCACAACGGCACACATTAAAAATGAAATTTAGTTGCTTCCTCTCAAAGTGTACACATACATAACACACATGTAAAACATACTATGTACAACATATGTATAGACCTATGTATACGTATAGACTTAGCCATTAGCTATTCCTGAACCATATTTTAGTACAGACATGTCAAACTCGTGATGTCACGCGACATATCGGAGCTTTTTCCCCATTGCCGGCAATGGGCTGGGCGCAGTTCCCTGGTGATGCATCCGGCCTGCGGGCTAGCAGTTTGACACCCCTGTTTTAGTATAATGTATTTGACTGAATAAAATGAGTTAACAAAAAAGGAAAACGAATTTTAATAAGGCAAAACAAAAGCAACCGAAGCACATTAGGCCCTTATTTTTATTTTATTTTATTATTTTATTTGGCTTGCATTTTTTTATTATTTTATTATTTTATTTGGCTTGCATTTTTTTCCCATTCGTTAATTGGGAAAAAGTAAATTCTTCTTTAGGCTGGTTAATTTTTTAAAGATGTTGGAAATCTCACGTATGTCTGTGCATCTATTATTTTATTTGAATCCTCTGGAAGTCAAAAGTTATTTTTATTTTTAAATGAAATTAATTTATTACTAAAGGGAACATGGGACTTGTTGCTGGAATAAGGTATATTGTAAAATGCTGATATGCATTAATATGTAAGATATATCTAAATATTAATTTGTCTAAATATTAATTCAGTTGAGAAGACACTGAACAAAGAGAAACAATATGTCCATTGGGAAGGAGTGTAGTATTAATTGGTTGGCTGAGATCCTGGAAAGTAAATATTTTCAGATCTGTTATAATACAATCTGTAAAACTATTTTCATAGTGCTTTATTTATTACAAGGAAAGCAAAAGTTGAAAACATACTCTTAGTACTTTTGAAGTAGGATGTTCTCTGGAATTCAGCATAAAACATCAGAAAACTAATGAAGAAGCGAGTTAAACTTCTTAATGTGGTCATTTTTTTTTAACCTAAAATGAAGGCAAGTATATTTTGGCTTTGTTCAATCACTTTTACTTCTTGTAGGAGAAGAGAATACCTATGTGAGAACACAACAAGCAGCATGGCGGATTCAGAAGACCTTTTTCTTAACAAGGCAAAGGTAGATCAAACTGGTAACTGCATTGTAAAAGTTAACTCGGGCAAACATTACTTCTGTGGTTATTGTGCAGCCATTACAAATGTGGCAGTAACTTTCCCAATCCAGAAAGTCCTCTTCCGTCAACAGCTGTATGGGCTACGAACCAGAGACGCAATATGTCAGCTACAGAAAGATGGAATCAGAAATTTGTACCGAGGTATCCTTCCTCCGCTGATGCAGAAGAGCACAACCTTAGCATTGATGTTCGGCCTATATGAAGACTTGTCTTCCGTGCTCCTCAGACACATAAGTGCTCCTGAAATCTTTGCCCGGAGCTTAGCAGCTGTGCTTGCTGGGACCACAGAAGCCGTCTTGACCCCTTTTGAGCGTGTGCAGACACTTCTGCAGGACTACAAATATCATGACAAATTTACAAATACCTACCAAGCATTCAGAGTTCTCCGAGAGCATGGAGCTAGGGAATATTACCGGGGCTTGGTGCCAATCCTACTTCGGAACGGTCCTAGCAATGTTCTCTTTTTTGGCCTGCGAGGACCCATCAAGCAGTGCCTGCCAGAAGCAACAACTTACAGTACTCACCTGATCAATGATTTTATATGTGGAGGGGTATTGGGTGCTATGTTGGGGTTTATGTTTTTCCCTGTGAATGTTGTAAAAGCCCGCATGCAGTCACAGATTGGTGGGGAATTCCAGTCTTTTTCCACAGTCTTTATGAAGATTTGGCTGGAGCGTGACAGGAAACTGACGCATCTCTTCCGAGGGGCCCATCTAAATTATCACCGGTCCCTGATTTCTTGGGGAATAATTAATGCAACTTATGAATTCTTCCTTAAATTACTATAATTGGTTGCTAATTTTCTCTCTTCAGTTGAACATCGGACAATCCTGAGCTGTCAGTTTCCAGGATATAGTGAGAAAACACTCGCAAGTATCTCTTGACTCCATAACATTTGAGAAACTAAATTGTCAACAAATGGTAGTTTCAGTTGGTATGGATATCAGTTATTTAAACAGTGCCTGACTAGTTCAAAATATAATTGTATTCACTCTTGTTCTTGGCCTTCCAGTCTATGGATGTGGCAGCTGTAGGACTAAAACAATTAACTGAGACGTTTCCTGAAATATAAAGTCAGTGAGCATAATAAAAGCATAATAAACTAAATTTCATGCTGGACTATGAAAATTTGCTGCAGGTCACCTTCAGCTTTACTGAACCAACACTCCTGGTGATCCAAAGAATGCACTTCGTAGAAAATAGCAGAGCAAAAAACATGATATTTAATTTGTTGCTTGACCATTTGTAACAAATGGTAGCATTTTTGTAATAAGTGGACTTTGAGTTTCCATGAAGCTTCATGTCCCCCCTCTTGTTTTTTTTTATTATTATGATGAATATTATTGTACTTTGAAAAGAGACTGCCAAATGTAGAAGAGAAAACTCTTGTCCTAAAACAGGTTCCAAGTAGTTTTGGAGCACTACTGATGCAAATGGCATCTTGCCAAAATTAATATTAAATTTTAGAAACTGTTGGCTGGATCTCTACTATTAAATAGTGGGTATTGACTGTGGAGGAAAGAGTGAGAAAAGCACTGAAAAGCTTTAAAATATTCATCTTGCACTGTCACTGAATTTTTCAATGTTAATTAGTGTTTAAATTATTATTTTTGATGAAATACTCTAATCCGGGGTGGTGGTTTCTTTTACACACATACACATGCACACAGAGACACCCTTTTCAGGTTTAGAAATTTTGATACAAATCACAATTGGTGCAAACCAAAAGTAAACAAGATAAAATTCCAGGTACTATTTAGTGGTACAATACAACTGATTAACACAACTCTACAGAATTTTTGCATACCAAAATGAAATGTTTATTGCCATTTTTCACGGTATTTTAATCTGTTGAAAAAATTAACAGAGTTTTTCACACCACTCAGGAGTGTTCATGTGGAAGATACACGAGTTTGCAAAAGGCTAGCTTGCCCTTTGCTTTTCCTTTAATGTAGATTCGTCTTCATACAAGAAAAACTGGCATAAGAGATTCATCCACTTTTAATAAGTGACAAAATTGCCTAAATCCCTTCTTTATATATAGCCTGTCCATTCACAGTCTATGAACTCGTGTGAAGGACCATGCATATATTAAAAAAAGAAGGGACAAAAAAAGTCTCTGCAAATATACATAGGGCGTCTGTGAATTTTTAATCATGCCAACAAACATACATGTGTACAAAATAGTAAGCAACGGTTGAGTTAGCAAGAGGAAATTCAGCCAAAATAATCATTTTGGGTGGGAGATTTTGTGCAGGAAAGCTCTCCCAAACTGTTGATTATTCTCCAAGTGTTAGAATTATTTTCTTAAAATTTAGATAACAGTAGGTTTGAGATGGTAGGGATTTTACTTTATTTTGCCTATTGTCCCTCCCCCTACACGAGTGCCCCAAATCAAATATTAATTGATCTTCTAGATTTCTTGATGCTTAGGATACTTAGCTTCACAGTTGGATTGCCAAGCACAAAATGAAAGAATGCTTACTATTTTGAATGTTGTAATTATATATAAATATATATATATATATATATATTATAAACAAAATGTCTGTTGAATGTTTAACTGGTAAAATATAATTCTGCCAGAGGGATTTTTTTTTTTTTGGTAACTTCCTTTGGTGGAATAAATACAAGTAAATCCAGTTTCCTGAAATGAATGTTCTGTAATAGTGTTTTGTTTTTCCCTGAACATAAAGACAGAGAATATTTGTAGGCATGCCCTAGTCCAGTGATGGCGAACCTTTTAGAGACTGAGTGCCCAAACTGCAACCCAAAACCCACTTATGCATCGTCGAGTGCCAGGTAGGTATGGCCCATTGGTTGGGTGTGGCCAATTGGATGGGCATGGCTGCCGTGGTAACGGCAGACTGGGTGGGACTAAAAAGTTCAATCAATCAATTCCAACTTTGCAAGAACTTTTTTTTTCCCTCGAGAAGTTGAAATTGACTGATTGAACTTTTTTTTTTTTTTTTTGCACACGGCGGCAGAGGCCTAAAGCAAAAAGGTTTTATAAAACCCAGCTGAAGGCCTAGGACTGGGGCGACGACGTGCGTGCCCACAGAGAGGGCTCTGAGTGCCGCCTCTGGCACCCGTGCCATAGGTTCGCCACCACTGCCCTAGTCATTGTCTGCCCACTATGTATGGCTGGGATCTCAGGCCAGTCTTCCCACCCAGCCCAACAGAACAACCTTTAGTGAAACTGCAAAGAACACGAGGTCATATTTAAAAATAGTAGGGTTACAAGTGCAGTATTTTTTAAAAACAACCTGGATCAATGGGGAAAGAAGGTTCAACTACCCCCATCCTATGACTATTATGCTTCTAGTGGGGAGATGTGGTTGTATGAATGGTGATGTGTGTGTTTTGGCTGTGTATGTGTAGTATCAGTTCTGCCCATACATGCAACCATCCAAAACATTTTGTGGAGACCAGTGAACTTCTATGAGGGGAAAAAAAGTACTTTCCTCTGCCCTAACAATAATCTTTAATACTTAAATCAGGTCAAAGGAAAATGATAGATGTCTTTTCGTTAGTGGCCAGATTTTTCTGTATCTTGTCCAGGGAGGCTGTGGAGATAATGTAAGTTAAAATTTGCATATAGAATTTTATTTTTTTAACCTGTAAAACTACAGGAAGTCCTAAACAAATCCTGCCCAGTGTTGAGTGTTGATATTGCCTTGTTTCTTTAATAATCTTACTTTGGATATATCTGCTGTCTTATGGCTAGCAGATATTATAGTCAGGTTGCATGTAAAGCTGAGGCAAGTTTCTTTGTTAAAAAAAATGTTTCTCCTAGCAACACAAACATATTAAATTGCTAATTAAGATGAACTACAGAGACTAGCATGGCTTTAAACATTTTATTAAATTCAGCATTCTGTGGAATAGGTTACTTCTATATTCATGGTTTTAAGCATCACCTGATGGTAAAGTTAAACAATAAGATGGAAATGTTAGTAATAAAGTTACTGATTACCCTTTTAACCAGCCAGTTAAAAAGAAACAACAATGCATAGTCTTCAAGAAAATATTCCCAGGTTAATTATGTTACCAGTTGGATAAAAAAATATAACGTTTTGTTTAAAAAGTGTAGAATGTATGCCATTGGCTCTGAGTTACTCTGGAAGATGTTACATTAGAGCACTCCAGGGTTTGTATGCTTAGCTTTGTAATACTTAGCTTAACTATACATGGCTTCAACAAGGTTAAGAAAATAGGATTGTCAGATTTGCAGGTGACAACAAAGTAGTGATATACCAAATACCTCAGGAACCAGTATCAAGATTCAGGAAAATCTCCATAACATCAGTTTCAACAAGGAAAAGTGCAAAATACTCCATTTTTATGAGAAAAATCAAAAGCATTTGTATAGGATATGCAACAGTACATACGAAAAGGAACTGTATGTCTTGGTGAATCTCAAATGGGACGTGAACTAATACTGATATAGCTGCCTGCATGGGGCTAGCCTGCGTCTACAGAAGTACGATGTCAAGATAGTAATTCATTGTTCCTCTGTATTCAGCTTGGTAAGACTATCTGGATCAGTGGGTCCAATTCTCAGTACAGCATTTTGGGAAGGACACTGACAAGTTGAAGTGTGTTTTGAGGAAAATAACAAGATATTAAGAATCCTGGAAGGAAAAAGTTATGGGAATAGTTGCCAGCACTCAGAATGTTTAGCCTGGAGAAGATAAGATAGCTATTTTTTTTCAAGTACAGGTGGTCCTTGTTTAATTACCACAACTGGGATTGGCAACTTGGTCATTGAGCAGAAGTGGTTGCTAGGTGCTAATGATTTTACTTCAGATTTCCTTTGCTTTACAGACTGAAGAAAATCGTAAATGTGAGGACTGGTCATACAGAGTTACTTTTTCTTCACTGTTGTAACTGAACGGTTGCTGTATGTGGCAATCACTAAACAAGGACTATCTGTATCTGAGGAACTGTCAAGAAGAAGACAGTAGATTTCTTCAGCATTATTTCAGAAAATAGACACAAAATTGGTTTCAGTTATGAGAAAGCAGATTTTGATAAGGCATCAGGAAAAATTTTCTACCTTCAGCAATGAGAGAATCTGCCTCCAGAGATGGTGGCCATTCTTTTCCTGGAAGTATTTCAACAGAGGCTAGAAGGCCATCTCTCGAAGATGCTCTAGTTGTGGACTGCTAAGCAAGGGGCTGGACTGGGAGTGTGTAGCATTAGAAACTGAAGTGTGCAGCTGCCATATGAGACCACAAAAGGCCTGCATCACACATAAATATTGTAAGGGAAGAAGTAGCTCTTCATCGTCATGCTAATTGAACAGGGCAGACTCTCTGCTTATCTTCTGTCCATGGGTCATTTCCCACTGATGAGTTAAAGTACGACTCAGCCATTCGTGAGAGCAGCAAACTAGACTGGCATGACATTTGCTCTCTACCCGCCCCCCCTACTGATTCCTAGCCTGCCTCTATTGCCTCTTTTCAACTCATGGTAATCATCTAACTTCCCTCCAGGTTAATGGATAATGAGTGACAAAGCCTACTAAATTTTATACCAGAGTTTTCAAAACTATTTTTCACAAAATCCTCGGCTTCTTCAAGAAGCTAAGAAAATGTATACAAGCGAGCACACACACAAGTTCACTCAGATGCAGCTAATTATCACTAGAGCATTACCTCTTGATCAGAGTTCCTGTAATTTTTTTTTAACTAACCAGTTCCACAGCTTGAAAAAGTTTTGAAAACTTTTTTATAGCTCTTATGGCTGCTCATGTATGACATTTAACATTTAAGTGTCTCCCAGAGCTTGGACGAGATGAAGGCATTGCCAGGGGAATACATTAAGCAACAACAGAAGAGATTATGTGTAGCATAGTTCAGTGCAAGTAGAGAAAGATTTGCTTCAAACCCGTTGCTGAACAACAATCCGTATTAGCAAAAGGTGAGTATTTTACTAGCAAAAAAGAAAGGATTAGTTCTCTCACAATCCCAGCCCAACTACAGATAGTCCTTGACTTACAAACCATTCATTTAGTAACTGTTCAAAGTTACAATGGCACAGAAAAAAGTGGTTTATGACCATTTTTCACACTTATGACCGTTGCATCCTCCCCATGGTCATGTGATCATAATTCAGATGCTTGGCAACTGACTCATATTTATGATGGTTGCAGTGTCCCCGGGTCATATGATCACCTTTTGCAACCTTCTGACTAGCAAAATCAATGGGGAAGTTTGATTCACTTTACTAGTTTTAACAACTGCAGTGATCCACTTAACCACCGTGGCCAGAAAAGTCATAAAATGGGGCAAGACTCACTTAACTGTCTTGCTTAGCAACAAAATGTTTGGGTTAAATTGTAGTCCTAAGTCAAGGACCACCTGTAAAGCTTCCCAATTTGTCTAAAAATTTCTTCCCCATGGGTAATTGGAAGTTCTGAGGAATGGACAACAATTTGGTCTCAGAATAAG